CTGCATACATTTCACTTAGACCCCCTCCGTCCTGCCTTAAAGATGAGGTCAGAGAAGTTCCACTGTTGGGTGTGGGTACACAGCTGCTATGGTCAGAGTATAGAGCCCAGGTCCGTTCCTGCCTTCCTGCCACAAACACTGCTTCTTGAAGGACCTGACACATCTGTATTGCCATCAGCACTGGGACAGTGGCAACCCGAGCCTTGTTCCATGTGTGTGCAGGGATTGAGCGGCTGGGTGCGGCCAGCAGAGGGTCTGGGGCTGGAGCCTGGGGTGGCTCAAAATCCACAGCTCTGACAGCAGCATGAGAAGAGGTTGGCTGTGGGCTCCTGAGGACCGGGCACAGCTGGCCACAAGGGGACCCTGGGGAAGAACAGAAACAGGGGTCCAGGAAACACTTTGGTTCCTCAGTGACGAAGTCAGTCCATGTCATTTGACACAACCCATTCTGCAAGGAGAGAAGCTTCTGTTTGAGCAGGACAGAAGGCAAACCAGCCAGGGTGGCCCGAGCCCCTGCAGGACTGCTCCGCGAGGGAGACAGGCAGTTCCAGAGGCAGTTTTCCGGTCACCCTAGTGGCCACGGGCAGCCAGTGCTCCTGAGAAGCTGCTGAGCACCCCGCTAGTTCAGAGCCCCCAGCCAAGCATCCCCTGGCCCCAGGCATCTATACTGGACAAGGACACTGCTATCCTCTGACCCCAGCCCTGAGCAGCAGCCAGGTCTCACCCTCAGAGCGGGCCACACACGCCTGACCAGAGCTGGAGGCCTGACTGCGTCCAGCTCAGCTTGCCCTGCTGCATGGGCCTGAGCCCCGCTTTTCCCAGCCTGTAAGACAGGGGACAGGACACACTCTGGGACCAAAGGCAGAGTCTGTGAAGTCCTCAGACACAAAGACTGTCTCATGACCTTCACCAGCAGCAGCCCAGGTCCAGATGTCGTGGGATGCAAGCAGTCACTAAACTCCTGCTCCAAGGTTCGAAGTCAGGAGGAGAGATGCAGAGTGGGTGGGGAGCTGGGCAGGAGTCAGCCAGCCTGGGGTCATCACCCTGCTCTGCATTCTGGCTATGTGTCCTTGTCACAAGCCCCTGCCCTCTCTGGGCGGCAGCCTCTCTGTGTGTTAAGTAATGGTGATCAACAGAAACCACCCAAGAACTTTCTTCTCTTCTTTACCCCTCCTACTAAGTGGATACTGTACTTATTTTTTATTGGTTTATGATTGTGATATGTAATAATTACACCGATTTGGGGGTGATCATAACAGAGTGTAAATGTTTACATTTTTTCAAAGACATTACAGTAAAAAGCACATTGTCACCAGCCCCCTCAGGATACACCCCCCCACACACTTTAAACCCTCCTCTGGCCACTTTCTGAAGCAGCTCTGGAGTCCTCTTTCCGCCGCGTCTCTAGGAGTTGTGTCAAAGCCCGGTGTGTGCTGCTGCCCGTCCTGTCCAGCGGAAAGGCAGGCTGGCAAACACACTGCCGGGCGTCCTCACCCCTCATTCACGCATCTGTGACCCTGGCTCCTCCCCAAAGCCAAAATGATCAGTAAAGGGACATGTTCGGAGCAGTTCCATCAAGGCAACTGCAAGAGCACAGCTAAGGGCAGGACAGAGGACTCCAGCACTGCTTCGGGAATGGTGGGGACGACGGGATGAGCGCGTGCAGAGCCAGGGAAGTACTCTGAGAGAGATTAATGCCCTTGTGTCTTTTGCTGTAGTACATTTGAAAAATTTAAACACATGTCCCAAACGCACCTCAGATATCCCGTATGAATTCCTCCATCCCTTCCCTGCCCTCTCACCACCACCTCCCTCCTCCTGGCCCCCTTCCATGTTTCCTTCCACCTCATCTTGATTTTATGCCTCAATTTATTTGCGTATTTTATGTTTCTTATGTAAAAGAAACCATACAATATTTAACTCCGTGAATCTGGCTTCTTAGAATGAATTGTCTCAAGATCCACCCATTTTTTTTTTGCAAATGACATCATTTCATTCTTTTTATGGCTGAATAATATTTTACTGCTTATATGCAGCACTTTTAAAAAATCTTGGTTGCTTTTGTTTTTTCTAGAGCCTTCAGATGCAGTGGTTGGTCATTGATTTGGGGTTACTCTGTGTTCCTAATGTAGGCAGTTACAGCTACAAATCCCTTAGAACAGCTTTCTTTGTGCACTATGAAGTCTGATATGTTGTATTTCTGTGGTCATTTTATTTTGGGAATTCTTAAATTTATTCTGTGACTCACTGGTCATTTACAAGTATATTCTTCAATCTCTATGCATTTGTGTGGTTTCTACGGTTTCTTTTTGCTGTTGATTCCTAGTTTCATTTCATTAGAATCTGACAGAGTTTAACAAATTATTTCAATTCTTTTGTATTCACTGAGACATTTTATGGTTTAAAATGTAGTATCTTTTGGAGAAAGTTCTGTGTTTTACTGAGAAAAATGTGCATTCTGTTGTTAGGTGAAACACTGTAAATATGTGTTAAATCCATCATCCTATGGTGTAGTATAACTCTGATATTTCTTTGTTGATTATTTGTCCAGTTCAGCTATTTGTGACAATGGTGTACTGTGACTGTGTTATTGCCTATCTGTTCTTTTATGTTCTGTAGGTTTTATGTTATGGATTTGGGTGTACTAGTATTGAATGCATGTGTATTTACAATTATTGTATCTTGTTGCTTAATTGGTCTCCTTGTCAATATGTGGTGACCGTCTTGATCTTCTTTATCTCTTCTGACCAGACTGAAGTCAACTTTACCAGACATCAGCAGAGCTACCCCTGCTCACATTCATGCTGTAGCTGCTGTAGCTGACCTTGCATCTTCCATTGTGTATTCTATGGGTGAGGCGCATTTCTTGTAGGCAGCATATATTGAGTTTTGTTTTTTGAACTGATCTGTTAGTTTGTGCTTTTGATCAGAGAGTTAAGACCATTTGCATTGAATGTTGTTATTGAAAGCTATGAATGGATTCTTGCTACTATATTTATTTTCTAGTACTTGATGCCTTTTTTATTTTCCTTTTTGTTTAATTTCTCTCCCTGTGAGACTAATTCTTTCAGACTCTTGGTGCTATTAACTTTGTTTCTGTTAGGATACCTTAGCCTATGTCCTGCAGTGCTCTTTCTGTGGTCATGAATTTAGCTTATCCTTATCACGAAAGGCTTTTATTTTTCTATTAATTTTGTTCCTCAATTTACTTTTTTAATTTACTTACTTTTTGGTACTGGGGAATTGAACTAATCCCCTCACACTTGTCAGGTAGGTGCTTGTGCCACTGAGCTAAATCCCTAACCTTATTTTTCTATTAATTTTGAATGATAATTTTTGTAGAATATAGTTACCTGGATTGGCAAATTTTTTAGAGCCTGAAAAATCTCACTCCAAGCTTTCCTGCTCTTTACAGATTGTGTTATTCTGAAATTTGCTGTTATTCCAATGTGTTTGCCCTTATATAATTTGGCTTCTTTCATTAATAGCTTTGAGTATTCTTTCCTCTTTATGGATATCTAGAATTTTTACTATGATATGTCAAGAAAAGCTTCTTTTTCTGGTCACACCCATTTGGGGTTCCAGGTGCCTCATTTACCTGGTGTCCATCTCTTTCTCTAGCTTTGGAAGATCTCCTATCATAACTTCAGTGAATAATTTTGTTTTACCCTCAGTCTCTGCCTCGACCCTTTCTTCAAAAGCAACCGTTCTTAAGTTTGTTCTTTTAAAGTCATCTAGAAGTTTTGCATGTTTTACTGTCTCCTGGTGATTTTTCAGTGTCACTGAGTAAATGTTACTTCCTCAAGATTGTTCTCAGGTCCTGACAGTCTGTCTTCTGGCTGACCTTGACTATGGCCAAAACACTGGATTTGGCCAAAATCCTGGATTTTCATTCCAGGATTTCTGCTGATCTCTTATCAAAGCTTCTAATTCTTTACTGAAGTGCTCTTTTATATCCTGCATTGTCTCCCTTAACTCATTCGATTGCTTATTAGTACCTTCTTTAAGATCTTGATGATCACAGAGATCTATACTATTTACATCTTTAAATTATTGATCATCTTAGTAATTGAGCCTTCAGCTATGGATTTATCCTTCTTTGAGCTCATCAGTCACTTTATTCATCTCTCAAGTTCTTTGTCTGGCCATTTATCCTCTTCAGTGCCTGTGAGATCTGCTTTGGCAGAGTTAGAAATTTTTGGAGTGTCATGTTGCATTGTTTTCTCATGATTGCTGTGATTTTATGTTGAATATTGCAGACCATTTATTCCAGATTCTCTAATTTATTGGAATATAAATTTTCAAAATAATTTCTTATAATCCTCTCAGGTGTGGCTCTACCCTGCTGCTCCAGAGACTCTCTGCCCTTGATTTCTCCCCACCTTTAAGAGGGACCTGGGTTCCTTAGCACCTCAGATAACCTCCTGCCCCAGGTGTTCCCTCCACCTTCTCTCATTCAGGGTTCACGATCTTCAGTCTCATCTGTCTTTGCCTCACTGGTCTTGATGCCCAGGAGGTGGCAATAGCCACCACTGTTTTCCCCCAGAAGAGTCATCCAAGGCCGTGTCTGGGTTGGGTTTTGGAAGCTACATTTGTTCTATTAGTTTCTCCAACCTTCCTAGATTGTTGTATTTTGTTATTTTGTTTGTCTGGGTGCCGAGAATGGAATCAGAATGTTGCAAGATTAAGCATGTGCTGCTCCACTGTGTTACACCTACAGCCACACGACACCCACAAATGTCCCACCTATAAACACCGTCAGATTAGCTTTCTGCTGTCCTAATACTGCACACTGGGGAGTGAACTCCAGCGAGTTTTAGAGAGAATGCGCCATATTTATCAGGAAAGAGGACAGTGTGGACAGTGCAATGTGCAGGCTGGGCACATTGTGATGGTTAAGGAACTGAGGATGCTTTTACGTGACATCAGGCATCAGGCATTTGACATGGTCATGGGTCCTGTCTCAGAGTTTGGCTTTCCCTTCTCTGTCTTGCAGGACAATGTCATCTTCCATCTCGAGGGCCCTCCTCTTATTGGCTGGCTTATGCTCCCTTGTTCCTGGCTCCTGGGCTGAAGATCTTAACCACAAGGATGGAGCATTTCATGACCATGATCATCATGAATTTGTGATCTGCTACAATGTCTTCTACAATGTTTTCGACTTGGCCTTTGCCTTTTACCGGGAACCGGCCAGTTGGTCGAAAACCACCAATACCTTACTGTCTCCAATCAGTATTGTGACTGCTTTTGCCATGCTTTCTCTGGGGGCCCGAGGGAGTACTCTCATACAGATCCTGGAGGGCCTAAATTTCAACCTGGGAGTGGTTTCTGAGGCTCACATTCACCAGTGCTTCCAGGTTCTCCTCCACATCTTCCAGCATCCGGACCACCAGCTCCAGATGACCATAGGCAGCAGCCTCTTTGTCAGTGACGATCTGGTGCTCATGGATCAGTTTGTGCAGAATGTCAAGGAGCTATACCATACAAGAGTCATCTCTATCAACTTTAAGAACACAAAACATGCCAAGAAACAGATCAACAATCATGTGGAGAAGGAATCCCATGGAGAAATAGTGAATTTAGTCAAAAATCTGGAGAAAGACACAGCTCTGGCCCTGGTGAATTATATTTCCTTCCTTGGTAAGGAGGGAGCTGCAGCCTTAGGTGGTTTCTGTGAAATAATCCAACATGTGCTTAAATGCCCACTGTTTATACGTCCTTGACAGCTCAGTGTGGAACAGGGCAAGGCATCCCAACTTGGGCTCTTTACTGTTCAATTCAGAAACAATTTCCACACACCAAGAAGACTGGAGAAAAATGAATTAACACCAGTCACATCTGCATCTTCTTTGTAGGATCTGTGAGCATCTTTATGATCCTAATATTCAATGGAAATGCCAGTAAAGACAGAGGCATTGGAAATGCAGTGTTTCCCTAACTAGAAAACCAGAGATACAAATTGGAACAGGTGATGGAGAGAATAGTATTTCATGGAATGTAATTTAGACAACTTTAGAGCCATAGGAGAGTGTCAGCTTTGGAGTGTGCCTTAGTTACTTTTCTTATTGCTGAGACAAAAAAAAAACTTACACCCCAAGGTAAGGGAGGAAAGGTTTATGTGGCCCACAGTTCATAGAGGTTTCAGCCCATAGCTGGCATGGCAGAGGGTTGTTGCAGAGGAGAAACAGTTCATGGCATGCAGAGGGAAGCAAAGTAGCGCGGTAGGAAGGAGTAAGCAACCACAGCAGCCCTCTTTCTGTCTCTTATATTTTATCCAGGTTACACGCCCTTAGGGTGGGCAGATCTCATGTCCACACAGGATCTTCCTTTATGCACTCCCAGAACTATGCCAATCAGTGGACTAATGTACTCTTGTTCCCAATGTCACACACTTAATCCCAGCATCACAAACTCGAGGTCCAGTCATCTCTGAAAAGCCTAGTCTACAACCTTATGAGGCTTTGGGGGGTTATCTACACACAAGCCATAACAGAGGTTAAAAGACTGGTGTTCAAATCCTTCCTTGACCACTCATTAGTCATATTGAACAAATCATTTTTTGGGCAGAAAAACTAATATTAACCTTAATGAAAGACTCTTTCTTTGCATGGAGGAATCTAAAGGCAACTTTACTGATTTCATGCCAGCAGCATGGGGGACTGTAACAGAGCCCAAATCACCAGCAAAGAGCCAGCGGTGAGCCCAATTTAAATATAGTTTACAAACAGGAAGTACAAGGCAGGTGACAGGTTTGGTTACATGACTGGTTACGTGAATTAAGTATTGTCATATTGTCAGGCAAGTTAATGAAATAGGTTTACTTAAAAGAAATTGTTTAGCATAATATCCTGGGGATGAGGGAAAGGAGTTCAAGCAGAACAAGCAAAGTTCTTAACTGGGTCACTTCACCCCAGTCAAAGACCTTGAAGCAAATTGGAACAGTCAAATTGGCCCATCGCGTTATCAGAAAAAAAGCAAAAATGGACCATCAAGGCTGACTAGATCCAGCAGGGTGTTGACATAACAGGCAGCAGGAGCGCGGGCAGAGGTCACTATTTGATTTTTAACTTACTATAACACATCTATTAGTTTGCTATTCTGTAACTGTGCCTGTACCATTTATACAATTGTGTCCTTGCATACATATAATGATGCCTTACGATGTTAATTCTTGGAGGCAGCACTTCCTTATCATGGACTAAGAGAGAGAGAGAGAGAATATTGTTTTCAGTTTTTAAAAGTTACATAATACATGGGTTTGGGTGCAAATCTGTTCCCTTGTTATCAAGTGTTGGAAGGATTAATCCAGTTTTATAGTATGCAGGGGCACACAGAACTGGGCAATGAGCCTTGATGCTCAGCCTGCCTTCCTGGAAGCCAGGACGCACTAGTACAGCAAAGGGGAGACAGCCCGGGCCGGCCCGCTTCACACGCTGTCCAGGAGAAGGCCTCGGGGTGGAACCCAGAGTGTCTGCCCTCAGAGTGACTGAACCACCCATCTGTCAGGAACAGGAAGCCTCCAGGAAAGAGTGCCCAGGTGTGACTTAGAGACCTCTGTTCATGCCCGATAATTTCATTAGCATCCTTGGTCCTGTAGGAAACACATAGAAAATGTAAATAAAGATACTTCTTCTTTGGAGCCAGCTTGTCACAAATCAGCCTGAGTATATCCAAATTCCAGGTCCCCCTCCTGCTTCAGGGTATTCCGTGAAAGCCCATCAGCAAGTGCTTGTCTTTATCCCATTTGACAGATGACCAGGGTGAGTCTCAGGGGGCAGTGTCTCAGGAGGGACTTAGGGTTGCCTTCCTCTGACCCAGGTCCTAAACCTCAGTCCCTCCCCTGCCTGACTCTCTCTCCAGGAAAATGGACCGTTCAGCTTCAGGCTGAATACACTGTGGAAGAAGACTTCTATGTAGACGAGGACACAATTGTCAGAGTGACCATGTTCGATCGCCTGGGTGTATTTTTACTGAGCCGGAATGAGGAGCTGTCCAGCTGGGTGCTGGTCCAGCACGCTGTAGGTGACGTCATGGCCTTCTTCATCCTGCCCGACCCAGAGAAGATGCAGCAGCTGGAAGAAGGCCTGACGCAGGAACACTTTAATAAAATCCTCGGAACCATTGACCAAAAGTGAGTCCCCACTGCCAGAAACCTCCCAGGAGCTCTGAGCCATGTCTAGACAGAGGCCCTTTAGGACTGGCAGGGGCCTGGGGAGGGTGGACCCCACCCTTGGGTCACAGCTGCTGGGAACGACCTTGTGCTTCCATCCAGACCCAGTGTCAACTCCACTGCACTGGCCAGGCTCAGTGTAAGGGTCAGTAACCAGAGTACCACAGATCCTGGCCTTGGGACATCTCCTCCCACCATGGATAATGCCTCTTCGCACCCCACAGTTATGTCAGGATAAAGAACAGGGCGGGGGGCTTCCAGGCAGAGGTGGCTGCTGAGTGTGGTATGCACTGCCCCTGGGTGGAGAGCATGAGATCCCACATGGAAAGACCCAGAACAGGAATCAGTGAGCACTGGCAGGTCCAGGGCAGCTTCTTGAGGGTGCTAATGGGTCCCAGAAGCCAATAGTCCTCAAGCCGGCACCACAGTGCAGTCACACCTGGCATCAGAAATGAACCTGTGCCCAGAGGCACTATTTAATTATGTATCTTATGGAGCAAATGTAAAAGTGCACACAGGTTTGAAGTTGAACAGTGGCTAGAAGTGTCGCAGTGTTTTCCCCCAGGCTGCCTGCGGCCTGAGAAGAGAACAAAGGTCAGGCTGGGACCTGCTACCTCAGCACAGGCCACTCAGCTCACCTGTACCCCAGGGAAACCAGAGCAGGAGTCTTTCGCCTAGGGAGAGGGGTGCTCTTGTCTCCTAACTAATGGTTTCCACTCAGCCCCTGCTGTACTCAGCCACACCCCCCTAAGAGTTTGGGGACTCCTGGGAGAGAGGGGACCACACACTACAGGACAGGATGACATCACTTCCAAGAGGGCACCTTGCTTCTGCCCAAGGGCTCCTTCAAGGAGGTGGTATTTCCGGGGCTGTTGGGACAAGAAGGTCCCTGTGAGGTTGACATTCTCCACGCCTCGTACAGAGGGAGATGAAGCTCTGAGCAAGCAGCAGGGCAGCTTCTCATCCTGCTGTGGAGGGGACAGGGCACTGATACGAGACACAACCAGGAAGGACACAGGCTGGATCCCAGCAGAACTCGAGAAACACTGTAAATCTGCTGCCTTTTCCCTCATGCCTGCCAGGTCTGCCAGGATACACTTTCCCCGACTGACCATTTCTGCCACCTACGACCTGAGGAGCATTCTGAGCACACTGGGCATCACCAAGATCTTCAGCGATGAAGCTGACCTCTCAGGGGTCACGGAGGTGGCATCCATCAAACTCTCTGCGGTGAGGTCACCTCCTGACAGCATTGCCCTCAGTGTCTGAGGAGCAGAATGAGTGTTGGGAAGAGCTCGGGTGTGTGGGTGGGCAAGGAATCACGGGCAGCAGACAAGGTCCGGGCTGAGCTCATTCCCAGGACACATGGAATTAACTGGGACGGGAGGGCCCGGAGGAGGAGACAAAGGAAGCGGCTTCCTGTGCTGCTGGCACTGCAGGGATCTCCCTTGAAAGTCTCACTAAGCCTTGGTCTCATCTTTTTTTAGGACAGTTGGGTTTTTAGGCTTCAGTTGACCCACACTTACACAGAGAAGCTTAGACTCAGTGATTTCACAGAATATTCTGGAATCTTCCATCTATAAGATTTAGAGCTTTGGTGAAACACTAGGTGTGAATTAAGTGAGTTCAGCCACAGAGGTCAATGGCTCAGAGAAATTAAAGGGGACTATGATCAGATGCAGACCAGTGAGGGCTGTGCCCTTGGGGGGACTGGGCACTGAGAAGGTCACCAGCAGAGTCCTCATCCCAGGAGCACATCACTGATGCATAGGAAAGCAGAGGCTTGTGAGAGGACGTGGCCTCCACGTAGCTGTCCCTTCTCGATATAAAAGGTGTAGCCAGGGTGGGAGGATGGAGGTCAGGAAGGAAACAGAGGACACAGGAGGAGGCCAGGCAAAGGCTGAGATTGAGGGAAAGTCCTGGTGTGACCACGCGGGGCAGAGACCATGGACAGGGCAGGGCCACCAGGAGGAGAAAAGCCCTGTGAGGCTGCCCAGAAGAGGCTCCACTAGGGCCTTGCTTTGGCCAGTGGTGGGAACGGCCCATCCTCAGAGCCTGCCTCTGCCTCGCTCCCCTCCAGGCCGTGCATAAGGCAGTGCTGACCATCAGTGATGAACGGACAGAGACCCGATGGGCCACTGATTTGGATGACAGTGCCTGGGAAAACGTCCCTACTATCAAGTTCAACAGGCCCTTCCTCCTCTTCATCCGGGAGGAAAACACCAACATTCCGCTCTTTGTGGGGAAAGTGCTGAATCCCGAGCAGCACTGACCGCTTCAGCGCTTCCCTGACCAGGTCTCCTTCCCGGGTGACATTAAAGAGATGCTGATCTGGCCACTGCCTGCGTGTGACCCACCCCTTCTTCCTCCTGTGTCCGAGTCTCCCTGTGCATCCCCAGGTTACACACGGAGGTCGCAGTACCTCTCAGTGTCACTGCACCATTGTGTGTGGGGTCCCTGCTGTGTAGTCTGTGCTGGGAAGGACAACTGTGGCTGTGTCCTCATCCTACAGCCCTGGGCCCCTCTGCTCCTGAAATCTCCAGTCCTGCCTGGGTGACCTGAGGGGCCTGTGTGGCTCAGACACCAGCTCAAGGCCCCAGGATCCAAAAGCACCCTCTGTCCCACAGTGAGTCTACTCCCCCACACACGGACCCCACTGCACACACTGTGTCCCCCTGCAGGGCTGGCCATGGGCCCAGCCTGCTGCTCCCCGAGCTGCCAAGCTCTCCACTTGACTGGGAGCTGCCACCTCTCCAGCCACATATCTCTGACCCTTTCTATCTCACTTTGCCCCTCACCAGCACTGGCTTCTATGTCCACATGGATCTTCCTGAAAGCAGTAGAGCCGGTGGTCAGTGGGCCCCTTTCTGTGAGGAGCTGGACAGGACAGTGACCTCGGTTCTTGTCCCTCCATCACTTTCCCAGGACCCTTGCACGTCTCCTATTAGGAGCAACCCCTTCTCCCCAGTGCACAAGGGGTTCAGGGTGGAGCCTTTTGTCTCCTCTCAGACTCACCAGGACCACCAGGCACTTACTCTGTGTCCCCTTCTGCTCCCTGGACATGTCACCTGCAGGGGGAGGAAGGACAGTACCTGTCACTCCCGAGGCCTCTGCCTGCCTGCTGCTGGCCGGGTTCTTCCCCGGGCCATGTGGGCCTTGCTCCCCCTCCAAGGACTCAATTCCGCCTCAGACACCACCTCCCACCGGTTTGCACCCTGAGGCATCAAGGACACCTGAGACTTGGTTCCACCATGTGCACTGAGGTCTAAACTGACTTGTGTGAGGTCACCCCAGAGCCTGAGCCGCCCTTTTGGCCATGGCCCAGCATGCACCGGAGCAGCAACACTGTCTCTCTGCGTCAGAGCTGTCCCCGAGTCTCACAGAGGCCTCCAAGCAGCACTGGACACTGTGCCCGTGCCTGTTATGGTCTCAAGCCACCACGCTCAGATAAGGAAACTGAGGCACCGGGAAGTTGCTGTCTTGCTCAAGGTCACATAGGGGGTCACTGGTAAGGGACCCCAGTGTTCAGGGGCTCTTCCTGGTCCTTCAAAGCTCACCCTTCACTCCATGATGCCTCCCTGAGGGCTGTGCTGGGCCACGGCCTGCAGAGGGAGCCAGAAATCAGCCTTGTCTGGATTAAGCCTTGAGGTTTGGGTTTTAGGGGTGGCAACAAACCCTGCCTGCCCTGAGGGGTGCAGCCAGAGCCCCTGTAAACCATTCACAGATGTCCTCACCCGGTCAGGCTCTGGGGAGCACAGAGAGGGCGGGAGGGAGCCACAAAGGGAACCCGGAGGAAGCTGTGCTAGGAGGAGCTCAGTGAGCTGCCTGGTAAGTCAGCGCAAGGGTGAGCAGAGCTGGGGAATTCAGGGACAGGGGTGTGGAGTCCACTGCAGCGGACAGGATGCCAGGGGCCCAGGCCCTGAGGAATCCAAACTCTAGTGCTTGCCACTTGGGATTGTCTACAAACAAAGAGAAGACGGTATAATAAGAAACCAAGTGGGTGCATCTGCAGTCCTGGGGTCCACCCAGAACCGCGTGCCTCCTAGTGACCCCTCTACATGGAGCTACATGTCCAGCCCTCATCACAGTCTTTTAAATTATTTTCACACAGACACGATGAACAAGTCACATTAGAAATACATACTAAATTAAAATTTTTTTTCTTTAGTTAATAATTAGTAAGAGCCTCAAAGTATGTTCTGAGGTGCATCACTGTCATTGTCTTTTACTTCCAAGGTGACTTTCGGCATTCAGGCATTAGGATTAAAATGCTAAGGGAAGCATAACAAATCAGAATACAAGAATCCTTTTGCCCTCTACTTAAACAGGCCATGCAGTGTCTCTGATCTCATTTTCCCTAACTGCAAAATGGGACACTGTGCCTAATTCACATGTCTCCTTGGAGGAAAAAGATACCACTGTGTGCAAAGCCTCTCTGCGTGCTGGTACTTAGCGGATTTAATAAAGATTCTGGGTAACACAGATTTAGAGGCACAGGCTTCCTCTGTCTCCTCATAAACTCATGCAACAGTAAGTAAGAGGGGACAACTTTACTGACTTGTGCTTTTTGCAGCTGAGGACCACGGCATGCAGATGATCCATCAGAGCTGACTCCACTGATGAAGCCAGGCCAGGGAAGGTCACGCAGGCCTCAGCTGCCAGTAGCTGAAGTCCTGGAAGTGCCCAGCTCACATCCTGCACAGAGGGTGGCTGGTCCCACACCCCTCACACAGTCTATAAGTCCCCCAGGCTTGAGAGCACATGAGGGACAGGCGATACTGTGTCCTGCCTCAGCCTCCTGCAGCCTCAGCACCCTGGTCAGTAAGTCTCGCTCCAGCGGCCTCCTCCTGAGTGGCCAGGGTGGGTGCTATGAGCCTCCCTGCAGAGTTCTATGTCCCCGTTCCATACAGGGAAACTGAGGTACACTCAGTGCAGCCCCTGGATAGGACCTGAGTCCAGGCAGCTGTGCCTCTGTGTGCTCCACCAGGTGCTGCAGATCCCGCCTGAGCCAGGACCAGGACTGGTCTCTAACGTCCTTAGAGGGGAAGGGGCCCTTCCGGCTCTAGCCTGTCAGTGTTTCCCAGGACTCCCAAGGACAGTGGCGGGGGCCTCTACCTCTGCTCTCTGAACCCCTGCCCAGGGTCCCTCTGGGCTCAGTCTCCTGAGTCCCAGCCAACAAGGAAGCAGTGTGTTCATTAACTCCTCAGATAACCCAGCTGCCCCTTCGCCCCCTCCTCCTTTGTTCTTATCTGAGTTCATGGCCTCTTGCTTTATCTGTGGCGCCTTACTGATTCCCTGATCAGGCCCCACCTCTGTAGCTCACCTGATACGAAGTTGTTCGGATACGGAGAGCCAGCAGTGTGTACAGAGGGACTGCTCTAGAGGGGGTCTGGGACCTAACTCAGTGTTAGCGACCTGGGGGAGACAGACAGTCAGAAAGGACACTGGCAAGGTGAGGAAAAGCCCAGTGACCCAAACACGGGTGTCTGGAGAGTCCACACCTCACAGGGACCCACACAAAGTCACAGCACGATGCAAATGCTCAGACTTCTGGAAAACTAGAAAATCACAAATGTTCAAGAAATTGCGTGATTTCAAGTAGATAAAGCCTTTAAAAAGAAGACCAAAAAACAACCAGCAGTCACAAAAGAAAGCACTAATATAATTTACTTTACCAAATTTGAACAATGTTAGCAAAAAAGGAAAAGAAACAGAGGAACAAGCTTAACAGTACAATCTTTTTTTAACGGAAAAATAAAATTTTATAACAGTATAAGAATAACAATAGTTAATACATTGCATATTATTATGTTTAAAGTAGTTAATCAGAGAACAAGATATGGACCTAAAAATTCTCCAGTAGGGGAAAGGGAAAGGAAGAAAAGGAAAAGTTCAAAGACAGGTTTATATCAGACCCAACCTGAGAGGGACCACATATATATTAAAATTACCATATATGTATATATAGCATCAAACACTGGACCTCCTAAATATATAGAGTAAACATATGCTAAACAGAAAGGACTAATAGCAATGCAATAACACTAAGAGAAATCAATAACTAGCACAACCTTCAATAATTAACACAACAGTCAGACAGAAGATCAATAAGGAAGCTGAGACCTAAAGAACACCGTAGATCAATGGACCCTAAAAACATACCCAGAACACTCTACCAACTACAGCACAACACGCCTTTTCGCAAATACACAAGAACCCTTCTCAAGGACAGGTCACATACTAGACTATAAAATAAGTCTGAAAATTTAAAAAATGGAAGTAAAAAAAGACATCTCCTGGTCATGGTAGAATTAAAAAAGTTTAGCAGAAGAGAAACTAGAAAATCAACAAATGCATAGAAATTAAACAACAGTCTATTAAACAACCAACAGAGCAAAGAAAATACCACAAGGAAAATGTAAAAAGTTTTAGGACAAATTAACATGAAAATATAACAAACCAAGATTTATTGGATGTAACCAAAGCAGGATTCAAAAGAAAATTTGTACTGTGTCTTTAGATATTCTCAAATAAAAATCTAATGTTTACAGTTTTAGGAACTAGGAGAAAAGACAAGTGAACTTAAATATTAGAGCAGGGATCTACAAAATTATTTTTTTAGTAGGTAACAGGAATAATAGAGGATAAAACAAGAGAGTAATAGAGAAAAATCAATAAAACTACAAGTTGTACTTTAAAAAAAAATTGATAGATCCCCACCTGGAAACCAGCGCCATGTGCAGACCACTGCCAGAGTGGGGACAGCCAGACCCACACATCTCTCGCTGAGTCAGCACCATTTGTGAACTGTGGAGGTGAGGCTGGGGGGAGTGTTACCAGGTTTCCTGCCTGAAAACCGTATCATTTTCATTGTCTTGTTGGGTTGGGTTTTATTCTCTTTTGTTTTGTTTGATTACGTTAAATCTAATGGCATGAGCAGCTATTTAAAAGATAGCGAGATATATTATGGTAGCCATTTTGGATTTCTCTTGGCTTCTCTTGAAGTCTGTTATTGCATTCATTGTTTTGGTTTTATTGCTTCTATTCTATTCTGTTCTGTTTGATTTTTATTATGTCCAAAGGTATCTGCAGCTATTTTGAAGACCACAAAAGGCATTATGGTGACTTCTGGGAGAACATGGCGGACAGACAGCAGCAGCTACTGAGGCTCTCTGAAAGACCCAGCTTAGGATCCAGGATTGGTGCAGAGTAAGGAATCATAAGCAAGAGAGGAGATATGCCCTGCTGACCCAAGAACAAACTGGGCTGAGA